AGCCAACAGAGAGTCAACAGAGCCTGGTCGTAGCAGACTCTGTACAAACACAGACCTCTTAAAGCACTGTGCTTGGTATTTTGCATATTGAGCTCTTTCTCAGAGGCAGGGTTACACCAGTTTTATATATATCTCCTTTTGAAATGGCACACCAGATTGACAATACCATCTTCAATCACCACAAAACGGATGGCACAGCTTACCAGACTAATTCACCGTACCTGATAACTTGGCACCTCAAACACATCAGTTCAGGCTATCCCCTGGAATATCTAATCTACTTACACATTTTAATGGATCAAATGAAAGAAAAGGTTCAGCATGCTGCCACAGGGTATATTTCTTATGCAAGTGTCAGTGAAGTTTTATTCCAAATATTGTCTAAAAGTGTCTGACATGTAAACTTCTAAATTATTTCCTTCAGGGATATGCTTTTTAGTATATGAATATATTACTTATTAAAAAAAATCCCACTAATATAGACTTCTTGACACTTTCAAATGCATCATATTTAACAGACTTCATTGTCTGAGGAAGCAGAAATCAGGCCAGTTTTTCACATGTCACAAGAATTGTATAAATTATGTATGTGCCATATGTTCAAACAAGGACTCTACAAACACATTTGCAAAGATTTCCCCATGCTGGGGTTAGGCTGTGTGTCTCCTATGCTAGATTTTTTTTTTTTAGCCAGTTCTCCCTATTAAATCTTCTGAAACCAGCCCAATTTATAGTCCATAGGGGGATGTAACCTCTTAGATCCAGGTGCCAGCAATAATGCAAAATGTATCAGACAGCAGCTGCACAGGGTAGCTGCTCAGAGAGCTAAGCACCTGGCCAGTCCCCTCTGCTGCATTTGATGTTGTTGATCATCCTCTCCTCCCTGACATTTTATTGTCTATGGGCATTTGCTACACTGTGCACTCTGGCTTTTCCTCCTAAGGCACTGACTTTTTTTCTAGCATTCCTTCAGAGGGTCCTCATGCTTTCCTCTCCTGCTGGCCCTGGATGAATCTCAGACCCCCTTTTCTTTGGCGTCCTGCTGCCTGCACTGTCTCCTCTCGACTACATCATCATTACTGCAACCCTTACCTTCTCTCCCAGATGCTCTCCACTTCCTTTTTTCTGTCACTTTCAATACTTTCATCCTCCCCTACATGCAGGCCTATATTTTGAAAGTTATTTTTTACTCCTCCATTGCCTAATAAAGTGCATCTGAAGAAGTTCCCAGAGAAATAATGAGCTGATAAGTCCCAGAGCTGTGTGTGGTTTCCTCTGTACTGAAGAACAGCACTGTATTACCCTGTTAAACCCAAGTCACTTCATTTTGTTACAAATGTCTTAGAGGGGGCAGTGCAACAGTTATTTGTTTGATTCCTCCCACAAGCTATTGCACACAGCATTTGTGTCAAGAATTGTGGGGTAAGTTTCCAGCAGGCAATGTGCACGCACCAATTTACTCTGCTGCTTTGCAGGAATTAAGGAATAAAAGCATGTGAAATGCAAATGCTTTGTAATGCACCAGTGACGCATTGGCTAATACTAACATTTTAATTACATATTTGTTATTCTGTTGAGTAGCTGTAAGCTATGAGACCAGCATGATTCAGATTTAATTTTGAAACATGATTGTGGCAATTCTTAACAGTTAGTTTACAAACTGTAACCATAACTGTGTGTGTTGTTTTATGTGCCTGAGGGTGGTTTTATATAGGAGCAGGTAGATGGGAAGCCTGGATGGTTCAAGGTAATGAGAACAGATGCAAAAGCCTTTAGATACGGGTTTATGGATGCAAATCTGGTCCATGCAAGTCTGATTTTCAAAATGTGACAAGGGTGCTACTGATGGCACCTTCAGGCCCAAGTATACTAACTGTTCAGACCACAGCCCTCTCGTGCTGTCTGCTCTTGGCACTTCTGGTTGTACCACATAGCACTGCTGACACTCAGTGCTTGAGTGTGGATCAAATTGCTAACCTATGGAGCAAGAGATCTTGGGACATATCTTGTGGTGTGCTTGGGGATTTAGCATGACATTGATGATGGCCACAAGGTATGCTACAGCATGAGATGATGTGTATGGTAAGTGATGGATCAAGAGTTACAGGTGATTCTATGGTGTCCTCAGGGGCATTGCTAAATATTAATATAGATGTGGCCTAAGGCATTTAGGAGCCTAAATGTTATTGTCATTCAATGAGACTTAGGTTCCTATGACCCTAAATCACTTTTGAAAATGGGAGTTGGGACACTAAGCCACTTAGAAACATTTAAAATAATTTTCCCAGAGCAGTAAGGACCATTATCAGTAGTGTCTGTCTGAAAAGTGGTTGGTCATTAGCTGGTTGAAAATTTTTCTACAGAGCAGTTTTCCAACAGAAAATTCAGTTTTATCAAAACTGAACTGTTTTGTAGGCACATGTCAATTTCAACAAATTACTGGCAGGGAAAAAGGTCTAAATAATTAATTTTGTTTTTTTCTTGTTTTGATAATATCAGCAGGTTTTCTTTCAGTAACGTAAAATCACTCATTTCAACTTTCTTTTCATTTTCTTTCATTCTGATTTCTGTATAATAATTTTGCTATTTTATTTTAAGTATATTATACTTAATATTTTGCATTATGTGTTCACATAATCAAAACAAAGCCTTTCAATTTTAGCCAAATGAAATTATGCAGTCATTTGAAATGCATTTTTTTTCCTGAATTTCCATTCTGTAGGAAATTTTAACTTCTTGTTTTGAATCTAAATGAAAACAGGTTTGAAAATGTCAGACCTTCCTGCAGAAAGGAAATTCTGCTTTCCAGCCAGCTCTATTGTTTGGTTTACATTCAGTGAAAGGGTTGGGTGAGCTTCAGTCCTGTTCCTAGTGTATAAGCATCCAAGTAACAAAAGCCATGTTGCCTTTAGAATGATGAAGTGGCTTTGTTGGAAGACTCTGAAGGGGCAGCAAGGACAAAATTGACTACTGAGATGGAGCTTTTCACCGCTCCATAAACAGACATACTAACCACTCGTCATGTTTGCAGACTCATCGTTTCCCCATTTTCTGCTGTTAAACACCTCTGTTAGTCTATTATATTGCAACTAAGTTTAAAATGCGTGTGTTTATGTCTCTCCAGATAGTTCTAATGGATATTATTTTTCTGGTCTCTGCAGGGCAGTTTTCTGGCAAGGGTTAGCTTGCAGAGGTGTGTCTTGCTCTGCTCCTCCCCATATTCCATCTGTTCTGTGAATGCACAAAGGACTGGAATCTGTAGGGCTGTCAATCTAACCCCTTTCACCTATATCAAGTCTACTTGAAAAATATGGGATTTTTTCATTCTGTTTTTGTATGAAAGAAAAATTGTAGAATAGAGCTTCAAATGCGAATTAGAGACCCATGAAGGAATTGTTTTTCTTCTGTTTGTTATTAGAATGGAAGATTGAAGCAATCAGAAAGCCCCTTGTCTTTCACTCAAATTTGAGTCCAATATTTTTTTTTGTTTATTTTAGAAGAATACATGGATACAACTTGATCTCTTTTGTGGGTTTCACAAGAGAAACATAGAAATGAGCAGGAAGAAGACTTTTGTTATGCTGAGAACTGATTTACTTTTAAGTTAATACCTGGCTCTTTGTTTTTCCAAGGATTGGGGCCTTAGATAATCTTCTTTGTTCTCAATTGTACTTAGCTGGAATCAGAATACTTTGTACAAATAGTTTGGAAGTAAATGGAAGAGATGGATGAAAGGGAGAATAGGGGATTGATTGCTTATGGCTCTGGAGTCAGTCCTCTGTTTATATCTTGTTTGATCTGAAAGGTAATGAGTCTTTGTTCTCAACCATAATAACATCTGGCATAATTTAAAAAAATCAATAAAAGCTGTCAGACTTTTCAGAGTGTGTTCAGAATGTAATAGCAAGGACAGCTGCTAGTCAGAAATAGGCTGTATCAGCAGAAGGAAGGCCCTGGACCAACAGTACAGGAGACTTTGTAGATCAGGAATCCAATGTATACCTAAACTTGTGGAGCTCTGAACAAGGGAGAATAAGACTGGAGCATTCAAGGGTTTTGCTGGTCAGATCTGCTGTACATAGAATCCTAGTCTGGTATCATAAACTTGTAGTTACACAAAGAGCCATAGGGTTGGAAGGGACCTCAAGGATCACCTAGTCTACTGTATTTAAAGAAAAATAGATATGGATAGCAGGGTAGTGGTAAGTCTCCAGCATCCTGGGTGTAAACCATTTTAATATTGTATGTTTGATATAGCCAAAGCCACTTGACAAAGCCTAAATGTGCCAGCTTTCAAGGAATGTTGCGATGCTGGCTGATTTCTCTGATATGTGCCTTTGGCTGGGGTTGAGTTTCTTGGGTATTTTGAGAACTATTTTGAACTTGATACTGTGTCCCTAAGGCTTCTGCTGCTGCTGGTTTTTAGTGCTAAGTGTGGTTCAACAGATGTGATAGGGGTGTTTCAAAGGCAGATGGATGTAAGAAGACACAGTGACAGGGTTGGGAGGAGGACACCAAAAAGATGAGGGAAGGTGGGACCTGATATCCCCAACTGGATTGTAAGGCACAAGAGAGATCACACAGGCCATAAGTTGTTTGCTTGTTGTGTGTTCATTTGAGTGCTGCACCATGTATATCCATTTTGGGGTGTCTTATTTAATGCAATAAGGGCTTCAAGCTAGTGGTCTGAGCATCACTAGCTTGATGGATCTAGTGGATATTTTATTATATTATACAAGTTCCCTGGGTAATTTATTGTCACAATAATGCGGAGGGTGCATTTTTCTTGGTAACATGTTAAAGTATATATGACCATGAGCTAATCTGTGTGCACATGTGCTTATATCTCACTTTAAAATTAGCAGAAGGATAACGTGCTTGATGTATTTATAGCTTTACAGTGAGCGTGGTGCCACACACACACACACGAAAAAGACATGCGCCGAGGGGTCTGTGAATTACGGTAAACACACAGCCCACAGACTTCGTTTCTACAAGCTTAGTTCCTGCAGATGTCTCAAGCTAACCACCGCCGAGTGGGTGGCAACGACCCAGCAGTTTTGCTTTTCCTTGCGACGTGTGATTGGTTTAGTATGGTAACACAGAGGAGGTGCTAGGTTTGGCTCTTTTATTATGGTAACTGCATGTTGCAAAAGGGGCTGCTCCCAGTCGAGCCAGTTTCCCTCTTGCAACTGAACGGCGCGATGTGATCGGTCTCTGTGGGATTATTTTTCATATGGAGCGGCAGCCTGTAGACCAAAAAACCTCCCGCTCAAGGGGGAACATGCTCTAAGACAGTAAGTTTGTGCTCGATTTCCATGCATTTGCTTGCCTCTCTCCCTCCAGTTATTAGGACAGCATTTCTGGGTTTCTCTCTCTGCAAATGTTTCTCTGCTTCTCAGTAGTTTGAGCAGCTCTGACTGGCAGCTGTTGCAGAAACTATTTTAGGGGGTTTCCTAAGTCGGAACAAAGGCTGCCGCCGTGCTGCTCACAAGCAGGTTGCGACTTGAGGAAGCGCTGATGCTGCTTTCTTTCATTGTCTGTCTTGGGGAAGCACTGATGCGTCTTTGCTCCCCTGATCGTCTTTGTGCCTCTGGCCGGCTTGCTGGAGCATTGAGAGAGGTTTGCTGATCCCTTGTTAAGGCCATCATTTGTCTCGGCTTTGGCAAAGGAAAGTTGCAAGGCAAAGGAAAAGCTTTCTTTTCTTCCTCCCTTCCTTTCTTTTTTTTTTTTTACATGGTGGTGTATTAAAAGTCACTTCCTGCTCAGAGGTAACAAATAGCCCAGGAAAATAACCCAGCCTTCTGCTTTTTCTTTATTGACTGAAGCAGGAGTTGGTTGCATAGATTGCTTATTCCTTTTAAAGTACTGATGTAAAATTCCCTTGAGCAAACAAATGTTGGTGGGGGTGTGTGGGGATGTGTGTGGAAGGATCTGCACAGCGCTGTATTGTTTTGGGACTGTATAATATTCATTAAAAAAGTACGAGGAAAGCCGTTTTTGCTGATTGTTTGACATGCATGTGCCCACATACTAAATATGCATGTAGTATTTGCGCAAGTCGGCATTTTGATATGTGACTGCTCTGCAGGAGATCAGGGATATCCCTCAGTGTGCATCTATCAGCCTGGGAACTGAGGAGGGGATTCCTTTGTTTCTCACTGTCTCCATGCTTATTTCTAGTAACAGAAATGATGGCATGTTTGTATCTAGAGGAAACCTTAGAGTGAGAGACATGCTGTGAAATGTGGCATTATTTTCTAAAAAAACTCCCTGCTTGCAGAATCTGAGTTGTTGTGTCATTAAAGCTACCCCTGGGGATGGCTTTTTAAAATTCATATCTACAGTTCCATTTCTCCTCCTTGGTATAAATCAGCAACTTTTTCCTGGCTTTAATCACTTACAAATTTACCCACGTTAAACTCCCCTTGGGGCAAGTAAGAGGAGATGCCTTCTCTGCCCAGTCAGGATGGTGGAAGTCAGGAGTCGAGGGGGCATAGTCTTCATGGACAGGGCTGTTTTTATGATGTCGCTCTTAGATTTCATCCTACCCGCAGACACTCAAGAGCTGTTTCAGGGTATTACTTATGTGGGCAAAGGCAGCTGGGGCTCGCAGTGAGTTTTTGTGAGTTAACTCATTCTCTGGAAAGCAGAGCTTCGTAAATTGGGGGAGATGCTCCTTCTAAACCGATGGCCAGAAAAGGCATTAAGGATTAATGGCACTTTCTCGCTTAAAATATTTGCTTTGTAAATCTGCCAGTCACTACTTACTTTTCAGACTGAAAAAAGTTTTTTTAGTTCCCTCCAGCTTTCTCCTCGCAGAGCCTGTTCACCATTGAGAGAATAAACTGGATTCAGACTTCATCATCATCTTTATCGACAGAGCCAGCCCAGCTCCATCTGTAGAATCCTTATTATAGACAATGCTGGCAATTTGACATCTGCAGGAGCACAATAAGGGTGTATCTGGTATTTTACATAGAAAACCAAGGCATAGTGCTTGTCCCTCAATCTGAGCAGGTCACAAGAGAAGACTCCAGAGGACAGAACAGCAAGCAAAATGGGTAGATGGAAGGAAAAAGGGATATTTATATGCTGTCTGAGTGTAGGTTGGGTGGTATACGATGGTGATGTCTCAATTGTCAGCAGTTTGGGGCAGGGACTCTCTTCAGTTATACAACACCATAAATCGATGGAGAGTAGGATGGAGAGAGCAGAGAGATCAGAGAAGAGCATTGGTGAGTCTTTCACATGACATAATGGATTTGCAATGGATACATTAGAAGATGGAGTACCAACCTGGTAGCTCTTGGGGTGCAGGGGAGAGTGATGTAGGTAGAATTACTTTCATCACTGGCATTTTGGATATGTGGGGTGGAAACCAGATGGATGTTGGGGAAACTACAGTGAGGGACAGTGCAGCAAGAGGCTAGGGCAGGTAGCTTTGGCCTTCGGAACAGAAAGGAAGAGATGGATGTAAGAAATGGCATAAACTAAAGGAAGAAGTGGGATACAGCAGAGGCTGGGGATTTAGAGATGAGGAAAGAGAGGAGTGGCACTTGAGTACCTGGGACATAAGGATCAATCATTGAATGGGATTGTTTTGTATGATGTGTATATATAGAAGTCACTGGTTGTGTTTGTCTCAAGTCGGGCAGAAGGCAATGCAAGGTGGCATCTTATAACTGGTTCATAGCACGTGACAGAGTTGTCTGTTGTCTGTGAAAGCTTATGCATCAACCGTTTAGTTTCTAAAGGGGTGCCCTGCCCTGCCTTCTGCCTAGTGTAATGCCTGAGGAAGAGATTACAAGAAAGTCATTAGTAGAAAAAATCCAGTTGGGTTTACAGCTGTATGTTAAGTGTTCATGTGGTCTCAGTGAGCATATTATCTGAGCACTTCACCAATATCAATTAACCCTTCTAGCTTGCTGTTTCTGGCATGTCAGTTAAGCCAAAAGTGATAAACTATGTCTTTGCTGCTGCTGAGAGGAATTTCCAACCAAGTTCAGCTAGCTCAGTTGAGTCGAATCAGTTGAAAAAAAATTGCTTCAGAAGTCTAGATGAGGCCTCTCTTGCTTTCATTTCCCTCTGTTCTGAAGCAGCCTTGCACCTTGTAGACAGTTGCCTTTTTTCACCATGAAAAATGAGATTCTCGCTTTTGGGTATTACAACAATGACAGGAGTTCTAATGTAGGCAAGCCTCCAAGTAGCCAGATCTGCCCAAACCTAGAAGTCCATTGGGCAGTTGTGGTTAAAGCACACCAGTTTCTACAGCTAACATGTACATAAGGGAGCCTGTAGCAAGGTGTCAGGTGCAGCCTCCTTTGACCAACCCTAGCCTGAATGCCCCATACTACGTCAACTGAATGACAGTTGCCTGGAGGCAACCTCTGGTGTGAGTCCAGAGCTGGCCTTGAACTTACACCTCTGCAGCTGACTCCTTAACTGCTCTGCCACCCCCTCCCGCCAAGTGGGGAAAGGGGAGGGGAAGGCATCTTATAAGTTATTAGTATCTGTATCACCTATAGCTATACAAAGCAGGCCTCCACAAATGGGGAGAGGAATTTGAGGAGAAACCCAGTACCTTGTTTACAGCAGTGCTACCTCCAATGCAGCCGCACGATGAGAAATTATAGCATGCACAAGAGGAAAAGCTATTTTTAAGTTGATTCTGATTAATATACAGGAGGTGGTTCATCAAGTAGGTCTCGCTGAGCTGGTAAGTCACAGAGACTGTGGTATAATTTTATTTAATGTCCACGTGCGAGGAAGCGTACACAAAATATTAACATTACACTATGAAGAGGGGGATTTCCCAAAAATGCGGAAGCTTATCAGAACAGCATTAACGTCAAAAGAACTGACGTTAACGTTCTTAGCACCCAGCAGGGAAGCCACTTAAACCATAACAGAGTCACAGAAGATATAAAAATACTCTCTGCACGTGCTCAGAGTTGTACAGTTGAGCTCATGCAAACTCACTGACTCCTGACACCCTCCCTGCTGCAGAACTCAAGGGGTCTCCCTGTAATTGGGAAGAGGCAAATTTGAAACTTCCAAACATATCCTGGCTTTTCGTTCTCTCATTACTGGGCTGGAGTATGGCCTCACAGACCCTTACTTGGGGATTTCTCCTCTGGGTTGGTTACTTTTCAAAGTTGAGAGGGAGAAGAGAGCATTTATGGTATTTGATCTCAAGCGACACTTGTCCATTTCGCTTGGAGTTCCATGGCAAAGATGCATAATTGGTTGGAAGGGAAGGAGATCTTCTGGTCCAAGGAGTTTCTCCAGAGGGTTGTCTCTAGAAAGATTCAGGGCATGGATCTTTGGAAATGTGATAGAGGAAACCCAGCCAAACAGCTTCACTGGCCAAACCCAACCTAGACAAAAGCAGTAGGTCTTTATTTAGAGCTGATCAAAAGCAAAATGTCTCTCTGTTGAATTCTTTATTACATCAGTTGCTTAATGTGTCCTTTGGTTGTGCTGTGTGCAGATCATTATGCACTCCAGAAGAAGTCAGTGGGGGCAGTAGGTGCAAATATTAAGTCTAATTTCCTGAACGTTCAAACTATTAAGTACAGTAGAAACAGTGCTCAGGAAGTATTTGTCATGACCACACCCACACCCTGACCCCAGTTGTATTGTGGGATCTATTTCTTTTCCTGAAATGGGGAACTATGAACTCTTTGAGGCATTAACTGGTTCTTGCTATGTGTTTTTAGAATGCCCAACACAATGGGGTCCAAATCTCGGAATAAATGCTACCACAATCCATATAATATATATGTAAAAAGTATCTCTCACTGCTAGAGGGAGGACACCAAAATATATGGACCAATGACCTAAAATATTATGGTAAGAGGTAGGAATTTGGACCAAATGGACCATTGGTCCAATTTGAAATGACAGCAGACCAGTGGGACCACTGTGTAAATACAGTGATGCAAATCCCATGTTCCTATGTTTTGCTATGATGTATTTAGATGTCAACCCTTTCCCTTGCATGGAAAAATGCACAGATGCACAAAAATAACATTGGGATTTTTTATTTTCTGTTTTTGGCTTTGAGCCAACAGGAAAGGTCTGGCAACCTTGGCACCATGGGGCTATTATTTATAGAAAGCAGAACTTCTGTTTTCAAATTTTAAATATAGATACTTGAAAACAAATCTTTGGATAAAAATTGCAGACTTCCAAAAGCACAGAGACTTTCGGTAGAGCAGATTAAACGTAGGAGGTGACCAGCGATGCAAGATTCCATTTCACATAACTTTTAGCATTTCCTGTAAAATGTGTT